GGACTGGAGGTCTGGATAGTGTAAGTGGCAACGCATCTGCACGGTAAGCAGGAGTTGTGGGGTTCGAGTCCCGCTCCGGGCCGTTTTTTCTCCCAGCGGTTCTAAATTATTTAAATTAATTAATTTATTTATAATTATTAATATTAATAAGAGATGGTGCCTAACGCTTACCTCTAGTGCCAAATTAATTTCGTGATTTATTTAGTAATTAGCCTTAAAACTAGCCTGATGGATTTACGGCATATGTTTGGTGATTAGCTATATTACATCGGGTTTAGCGATGTTTATATATCAAATTAATGATCACTTTTCTCTGAATATTGCCAACAAGTTATGAAATAAACAAAAAAAAACTTTTTTTTATTTTTCAGATTTATTTGATAATATTGTTACCTTTCGGTATGAGGATGCAACTCTAGAGTTACCAACTTTTGACTTTGGACATTCAGGAGATATTTACTTCCAGTTTAAAACTACTGCCAAAAACGGAGTGTTTGTTCACATTCGTGGTCCAGTTGATTTCATAAAAATTGTTTTAGTTGGTAAGTTTAATAATAATTTTTATTTTTGATTGATAAATTTTGGATTATGTAAAAATAAAAATATTTAAAGAGTGAAAAAAAATTAAACAGAAAATTAAAATATTGCATTGAAATTCAAATCTAATATTGATTTTATATTTAGTAAAAAATATCTGACAAAGAAAATGTTACTGATAAATGTACTAAATAAAAATATATATGTTCAGGGTCTGTACAGACCTGGAAAGTCAGAAAGTCAGGAAATTGCAAATACCATGGAATCCTTCTGTCACTCTCACTCCTTTTTGATTTGAACACATGTTTAAATTCAGTTCTGTACAGGGAAGTCCATGAAAATCAAAGTGATCAAACAAATGGCAAGATTTGTTGCGCTTATATCTCGTAAACTATAAATGATAATGATTTAAATTTTGTTGGATAGAAGGTTTATGTCCGTATTTAAAACAGTGGGTAGTGGGGTGTGCAGCTGAGTGGGGATTAGCAGTTGCACATGAACACTAAACTGGCGACGTGGTGCAGTGTTTTGGCAGCAAAACTTTGCATCGTGAAGAGATAGGATGTTGAAATCGGTGTCAATTTGTACAGGATAACAGGATCTGCAATATTATGCAGCAATAATAACCAATAAAATAGAATTTACAAAGTTATAAGCTGATAACTGTGCAGGTGAAGAAAATTATCATGATCTTGAAGAAATTGCAAAGACAATATGAACAGAAATGTAAGAAACATATATCATTGAAAATGAAAATTTAAAAGGAATCAGAAAAGCCCAAAATAACTAATGACAAATGATGCAGATTATACAGAGAGCATCAGGAAACTGAGCACGTCAACTTTAATGTGAATATTTCGAGTCTACTGCAGCTCAAACCAATATATATTGACTTGGAATGTGATTACCACCAAGACTATTTGTTTACATGTTATTCTTTCTCTAATCACACAAAGATGGATTTATGCCTTAAACAATTGCAATTGTATCCCATACACAACCCTTCCCTTCCAATTTTTTTTGACCTGCACAATGTCTGGTTAACTCATAGCTGTCAGTTGATGTCATGGGGGACGTAAATAGCTGTCACTCGACTTAATGGTATGGTGTGTGGGACATTTTGGAATGCTTGGCAGACCTCATACAATTTATGTATTTTATTTGTTGTATCTTTGCTGCTGGTCATGTACAGTATGTGGAGGTAATAATCCTGTCAATTTTGATGAATTGATTATCTGTGACATTTCTTCTCTTAAATTGCAAATTTTTGTCTTCGGGTGGCCCGTGGAATTTCGGAAATATACTAAAATATTGCCATACAGTTAAGGTTGGGTTTTTGACACTAACCTGCTTTCCTGCCAAAACTTCGCTGCTCCCATTGTAAGTTTTGGTGAGAGGTGGGAAGATATGTAACAACTTTGAATGGGTCTGTGCTGGACCAAAAATATCATGCAATAAGCGATTTCCCCCTCTCATGGAGTGCGTGATTTCTTCTGTTTAAATTGCTTTGAATTTATCACCTCGCATAAAAACAATTTGATTTTACAACACAAGTCTTTTTCTTATTTAAATAAAATTTACAAATTACTTTAAATTAAATCATGAATTTTTTTATATGATGTAGCTGATTACATGATCAGTTTTATGCCAAGTTTTTCATTTTTTGTAGGTGAATAAAGTGTGTTTTTAATTAAAAAAATTATATAATTGTGAACAAAATGGGCTTAAACAGACTTGCCCGAATATCACATAATGTAAAGAGGAAATGCAGAGATGTCAATAAGTCAGGGAATAATGTCATAATTAGTCATGGAATGTCAGAGAATCACAGATAGAATTACCTGTACAGACCCTGTATGTTAATAATAACAAATTTTATAAAATTTATTTTTGTTTCAATGCTAATATGTGTTTTTCTAATATTTCTTATGAATAAATGAGATTTAAACGTTTATAAGTGTTTAGTTTATAGGTTTTTCTTTTTACTTTAATATTTAAATCAAGAACTAGTAAATAGTTAATGCTCCAGAATGGGTGATGAAGTTGTTGCTGCACATGTAGTTTACTCTGATCTAGGCCAGGAATTACACACATGTACTTCAGGTTAAGTTTACACTGCTCATTAGCCCAGGCAGAAACATTAGCTTTTCATGGAGTTGCTAGGTATGATAGCCACTTAAAGCTCATGATCTCATACATCACATTCTCTTACATTTAAATAAGAACATTAGAGTAGACTTCCAATGGGTCCTGGGTCCTGTGGGAGAACTCAGAAACAAGACCACTGACCATCTTTCCAAAGCTGCTACTAAGTCTACAGTCACTAAAACTTTCAGTTATATTCAACATGCATGTCAAGAAACAAATTACCATTTTTTGACATGATACTACTGGTCAGTTCACCCACACTTTTATCCCCAAGGTTGACATAGTTGCAATTCTTTGCTCCTTTCCCTTAGTTTCACTCTCATTCAGCTACTTACTGGCTATAACTACTTCAATTAGTATTTGTATAGATTTGGCCTTTGGGACAGCTGTACTGCACAAGGAACAAACATTTCTTTAATAAAAATAAATAATAAAAAATGATGTCTTGCTTGTTGATATGTTTTTCTTGTTGGTCACTTCCATCTATCCTAGTTGTTATCTTTTTCTACCACTATTGTATTAGTTGTAGTTTGTATTAAGTTACTTTTAAGCTAGTTTAAATTATTAAAAACTGTAAAAAAATTTATTAAGGTATATGCTTTAAGTTGGACCTTATCTATACTGTTTTCAACAGAATATGCTTTACTCAATGACAATTTTATTGTTATTTATTTCTATTACAATTATGCATTTTGGACCAGGAAATCTAGCTGGCTCTTCAGACTAAAAAACAGTTTACAACATTTCTATAATTTTGTAATAACATAAATTTATGTAATAATTCTGAACTCATTTTTCATATTCTTGTATATAGACAATATTTTGACTCTAATTTTATTCTAGAAAACCTAAAAATTAATTATGTATACTTTATATTTTATCAGTTAAATTTACACTTTCAAAAAATTTTTAAACTTAATTTCCTCAGATTACTGCACTTGTAATGATAATGTACAATTAAGTTTATTGGTCAACACAATTTAAATATATTTTCTATATGGTATGATTTCATACCACATGGTTTCTATCTTCACACCATTATTTAAATAAATTAGATTATTATTTTTATTGAGTTCAGTGATTTATACTTGGTTGACACTGGTGGCTGTATACAATGCAGGACCAGAGTCAAGGCATAGTAACCAAAACAAGACAAAAATTAAATAAGTGTGTCAGTGGGCATCTGTATTCAGGAATTTCCTAACAATATGACATGTATTCAATATAGTGGCATTCTGTAGTGTGATGTATGTGTTTGTATTCAACTGTAATACACCCAGGCTTTTGTGTAGTGTGTGTGGTATCACACCTGTAAAGGAGAGAACAACAGGTGCAATAAACACCTTATCCATCCTCTACAGATGCCTTATATTCTGCCTGTTTAAGTTCTGTGTACTTGCTAATTTTTTCAGTGAATGTGTTTTGTACATTGTGAGTGTTTGGAATGGATATGTCTATAATGTATGTGATTTTGTTGTGTTTGTCAATGAGTGTGATGTCTGGTCTGTTGTGGTAAATTGTTTTATCTGTGATTATGGCTGTTGTTGTAATTTTGTGTGTGTTGTTTTCCAACACTGTATTTGTAGTATGGTTCGTGGATGTTTAATAATTTGTTTCTTTGCAAGCTCTTGGTGTATTATATTTGCTACTTGATTATGTCTATGTAAATAATCTGTCTGTACCAAGAGCTTGCAACCAGAAGTGATGTGTTGTATAGTTTCTGGCATGATGTGACATTTATTATTGTTATTTCATATTGTCTAAATACAAGAATATGAAAATAAGTAAGTTCAGAAATATGTAAATTTATATTATTATATAATTATAGTTTTTGAAATAGTAATTATGTAAACAAGGAGTAAACTAACCAACAAATTTTAATAGATTACTTCTTTCCAATGTAACAGACTTTTTGATATCCTTCAAGTCATAAAACAATATTATAATTCATTTATTTACTGTGTATTAGTATACTAATTTTTTATTCACTTTTTCTTTAATACATAAAATATTTTATAATATATAATTTTAGCTATTTGAAGTTCAGTTTAAAATATTAGTCAAGTGAACAAATATGAAGAAATATTTAACTATTATTTACAGAGGAAGATCATATACAGTTTCAGTATCGTGCAGGACATAGTGCATCAGGAGCAATGCTAGATGTGCCATACAAAATAAATGATAACAACTGGCATTCAGTTTTATTTGAACGAAACCGTAAAGAAGCTAAATTAATTCTTGATGGAAATATTGTTGGAACTGCAAAAGAACTGGTACATCCAGTTAGAGCTTTTCATTTTACAAGTAATTTAGTCATAGGTATGTTTTACATTCGATATTATTATTCATAAATTAGTGAAATAAAAGTAATTAAAAGTTTTATAAATGAAACATTAGGTGCCTCTGTTGACTATAGAGAAGGATATGTTGGTTGTATACGAGCATTTATGCTAAATGGTAAGATGGTAGATTTGTTAGGTATAGCTGAAAGAGGACAATATGGAATATCACCAGGTTGTGTTGGTAAATGCATGAGTAACCCTTGCTTAAATAATGGCACATGTTTGGAAGGTTATTCTGGATATACTTGTGATTGTCAGTGGACAGCATTTAAAGGACCAATATGTGCAGATGGTGAGTTAATTTATTTATTTTGATATAATTTTGTATTTCTTGTGTTCTAGATTGAAATATGTTTTTACTGTTTGTATATATTGTATAACTGTTCTGTGAAGCATGTACAAAATAAATGTATGTTCTTAATAATATTTCAGAAATTGGTGTGAATTTACATTCGGATCAATACATACGATATGATTTTGAAAATTCAATTTCAACACTGGAAGAATATATAAGAGTAGGTTTTACTACTACTGATAAAACTGGAATGATTCTTGGAATTTCTTCGAAAACAGGAGAATATTTGAATCTCATGATGTCAGCTAGTGGTAATTTTTTAATGCAGTCATAATTTTTTAAATTTTATTTATTCAGTTATTAAATTAAAATTAATTTTAGGCCATCTGAGATTAGTATTTGATTTTGGATTTGAACGTCAAGAAATAATTATCAGAGATGAAAACTTTGCATTAGGACAGGTACATGACATAATTATAAAGAGAAGCCAGAAAGGATCTACAATTACAATAAAAGTTAGTTTTCCTTTAAAATTCTTATTTTATATTAATTTATTTATTATGAGGGTCATTCTAAAAGAAAAGAACGTTTTGATTTGACAAGCCGTGCAGTTCTCCCACCACCCTCCACTGTCACGTCATGGACCTTCCCATGTTTTCACGCCAGTCTGATGCTAACAGCGAGCCACAACGATCGTTTACTGTTTACAGTGTGACTTTGAAATGTGTGACAAAATTAAAGATCCTGCCAAGTGTGAGGTTCGTAGTGTAATATGCGTTTTGAATGCGAAAAAAGTCCGCCCTATCAAAATTTACAGACAGATAACTGAGGTTTATGGTAATGTGATGAATGAAGCTTCAGTTCGAAACAAACGGCAGGGATTGTTGTCCAGAGGCATTGTGCTTCTTCAGGATAACGCATGTCTGCATGCTGCTGTGTTGATGAAGAACTTGCTTCAGCAGTTTAAGTGGGAAGTTTTTGAACATCCTACTTATAGCCCGGACTAGGCTCTGAGTGATTACATATTTTCCCAAAATTGAAGGATTTTTTTTAGCTCAGAATCACTATGGAAGTGACAATGAACTGAAAGAGGCCGTTAATGACTGGTTCAAGAACTTGGCAGTAACTGAGTGTGTAGAAGGCATAGAAAAGCTTAGCTATGTAGAAATATAGCTAAGGTATCATATATGTTGTAAAATAAGTTTTGTTTCATTATCTTAAATAAAAATATCTAGAGAAACAAACGTTCTTTACTTTTAGAATGACCCTCGTATAATTAAAGTTGGAAAGTTAAGTTCCTCCCCTTACTGTTATTGGTGCACAAGACTGTTCAAAAGTAATGCAGGATAGTTCTTTATTAAGTTTATGATTGTTGGTGATATTCATTTACCCTTTTCCCTCTTTTACTATTGAGCTCTTTTTGATACTTTCCGTTTTTAGCATATAAATTGGGTATTTTTCTATTTATAAATCTGTTATTAGTAATTAAAACTTTTAATAATTTTTAATTAGTAATACAGTTGTCCCTTGATAATCCGACAGGTATGGGACCAAAGGTGTGTCAGATTACCAAAAGTGTCCGGATTACCGAAAATAATTACATATTTCGCATTGTTTTGCTAGCAGTAACTTACAATATTCTATACTCCAATTGTTCAGACAGAACTGCTCACATAAAACACACGAAATGTGTGTCATCGAGTAAGAATTGGATGGGGAGATTCACATCGCGACATGCTTCTGTGCAAGCAGACACGTAACAGGGACGGGTACCTTGACGGGAGGTGCATCGGACTACTGAGCATGTCGGATTAAAAAACGTCGGACTATAGAGGGACAACTGTATTTTGATATTTTATTAGTTAATAACCTTCTGATGTAAATTGGTGGTGTGCAATATTATCAATCAATCAACCAACACTATGATATTTTCCAATGATGAAATCAGAAAAATGAATACAGGCTAATATCATTGTTTACATTTGATATTATTGATACTTGGAATTAATATTGAAATTAACAATGTTAATTAATTTAATGGTGCAATGCTAAAACACTTTAAAATTGAAATTATGTGTTTTATTAGCTCACAAATTTCAACCATATACAGTTTTGAATTTGAAAATTAATCCTTCCAAAAATTTTTAATTTTTCTTCTGTGATTAGTTAGAAGGAAAAAAGTTGACTAATGATTTTAAAAACAGTATAAATGGGCTATCTCAGTTTGGTGTCTCTACTTTTCAATGAAGTTCTGTACTGTTTTGTCTTATTTTATCTTATTTTATGTAAATTTATACTTTTATATACTGAATTGGCATGAATAATAGTCAGTTTTTTTCCCTAGTAATTTTAAATCTTTAATTCATAAAATTTGTAAGATTTTTGGTCTTGGAAACAAGTACTATTGAAATAAAGTTGTTTATGTATTTCAATTTGTTGTTGTTGTAATTGATATTTTGACAGTATTGATTGTCTGTTATTGATTATTGTGTAATAACATTTATCACAACATTATTTACATTGATTGCTTGAACATCACTAATGTAAAACAATAAGGATAATTCCATTGTTCAAAAAGGTGAAGAAGGGATGTGATGACTAGTTGTAACATGACTGACATCTTACTGGTTTAAAAAAATGCCAAAACACAAAAGTAAAACTAAAGGTTAAGTAAAAACAATAGAAATACATGGCCAGCATTATTTACATTTAATAAATACATAAAAATATAAATACAACATTTGCAAAGGTAAAACTTTGCTTTGGTCCTTCTGAATGGCGAAAAGGACAAAAGCAAAGTTTTTACCTTTGCAAAAGTCATATTTATATTTTTATGTATTTATTAAATAAAACTAAAAGTGTTTAGTTATATGCTTTTCAACTAAATCTATAAATCTTCATGGATTATGTAACACATTAAATATACAAAACATAGTTCCAACAGGGAAATAAAGAACAACAAAAGAAGGGACAGAGTTTTATTAAATTCTCCAAAGGACAATGCAAGCGGAAAGAATGAATTTTTATGTAAACTGACTACAACTTTAATTTGGTTAGGAATTGTTATTAACAAGGTGAATCATCCAGCATTCAAACTTTGGTCAGAAATTGAAGTGCCTGTTTAAGTTAGAAACTTAAACAGGCACTTCAATTTCTGACCAAAGCATGCTAATGATATTGCAGCCTGCATATACAACTTTCAAAAAATTACAGGAAATAGTAGGAAAAAATCCCAATCTTTTTTTATTTTGGATGAAACAACAGACATGCTAAAATGTACTTGCTGAACATTCTCATCAATCCATTAACAAGGGAACCAGTGCAAAATATGCTGTTAAGAGTTTCTAAATTAGAGAAGACAAATTTTGCAAGCAATTATTTATTGTGACGTCATAATTCTGGGCTACAATTTTTAATCATATTTTAATTAATTTATAAAAATATATGCCTTACATCTCAAATTGGTAGTGTCTTGCCCTGTACATCATACTTTTCCTGTTAGATAGCAGACTAGCACAGCTCAATTGCTAACTCCTTTCAGGGGAAAATCTTTAAATTGAAATGACTTCCACTCCAAAGTGTTAGTTTATATATAATTCAGTGTTTCTCAATGGGGGCGTTTTTCCATGTTGAGAGGGCAATTAGTAACCATTTATATTTTGGGGGGCAAAAAACAATTTTCTGGGTGATATTCTTAATATAATGTTTTACTGTAATTAGATATTTTATTTGTTATATCATACAATAATTAAACAAATAACATTATACTAGTCACTAGTCTATTCAATGCAGTACGAATTTGGCGTTAGCCTTGGCATCGGAATTTTAAAGTGAAGGGGGCGACAATTCGTTAGAGGTTGAGAAACACTGATATAGTTAATCAGGGACTCCTGCCCTAAGCTTTCCATATCTGTCTTGAATTTCATCTATTTAACTCTGTTCTCAAGTTTGAAGAAGGACAGACAGACATGGATGACAGTGGAAATTTATAGGTCTACAATTATTTCAAATTGCAGCTTAAAAACTGTTACACAGGATTTAATGAATCATGTACCAAATTGTGGAGCTTTGCCATTTCATATGAGATGGTTTTGTTACTTGTAAAAGACCAAGTATCATATTACTTGAATATAAAGTTGATATATTCATATCTGAGAGAGGTTATTTGTCTTCCCATTGCTTTATCTGGGTATGTGAAGTAATTAGAACAGAATTTTCTTGGACCAAAAATTTCATTCAGAAATGATTAGATGTCCTGAGAATATACACTTATATAAAGAGATGACTGACTTGCCACTCCGAAAACACCTGTAATAACTAGGGGCATGTGGATTCAAATTGTTTGTTTTTATGCTGAAAATTTCTCATCCATGGGAGCATGAATTGATAAATTGGATGAAAAGTTTTCAGTGGTTAAATGAAACTCAGATTCTGTTGAAACTAAAAGCTGTTATAAAGGAACTTTACTTGTTCATTCATACAAGTTCTTGTGAAGTTTCTAAGTTTGAGGAAAGAAGTCTGTCTACTGAGAAGTAATCTCTACTACACAGTGTGATATTTTTTCATCAGTTTTTTTAATGAAGTATTGGAGGAAGGACTCAGATAAATATAATAAAATTATAATTATATTTTTATTTAAAACTAAGCATTGTGTGTTATGATGTCACCAAAGGCCTCAATACAGAATCTGAATACTTTTATAGAAAGCCTACATCTGCTATTGTTAATTTTATTTTTTGCATACCCCTAAACAATCAGTCAAGTACCCCTGGAAAGTACATGAAGTAAAGCAGGAATTTACATTGTTCTGCTAAGTGATGAGAGAAAGATGAATTAAGTGTATATGGAGGCTACAAAGAGGTGACAACAGACTAGGCTAGAGGAACATAAGAGATATCAGTTTAAGGAAAGATACTACATTCCGTCAAGAAGACATAATAAAGAAAGGTATGGTTTTGGAATGGCAAGAATGTTGGAAGAAATAAGGAAAAGAGGAGGCTTAGACCTCTAAGCCTCCTCTTTTCCTTATTTCTTCCAACATTCTTGCTGGAGGAGAAAAAATATGATGTATGAAAGGAGTTTGAAGGAGAATATAATTAATGCTAGAAATTACTGATAAATAAATAAATCTTATTGTTAATAATATATATGTAGAGTTTATTAAGGAACTTTCTATAGGAAGGGTGAAATTGTTTCTGGGATTTGGATTATTTGGGATGATTTGTGTCAGATGTTTTTATTGTTAGTTTTAATCATTTTTGCTGATGTAAGAAATGCAGTTATGGTAAGGTGGGTAAGTGATGTTGCAGGTGTGGTTGAGTGAGAGTTGTGAAATAGTTTTCTTGGTAGGGGATGGAGTAATTAGGAGTAGATGATAAGGATTGCAGATCATTGATGTAATATCCAGTTCGACAGACTTAGAGAACAGCTATTAAGTTAATTCATTTGTGTAGTTTGAAGATGGACTTTGTTGTCTGAAGGTGCTAGAGAATAAATTGTAAATAAAAGTACAGTCGACCCCCCCCTATAACACTGTTGATTATTCTGTTTTATATGAATTCCATATTGTACGAGAAACTTAGATTTTACAAATATGTGTGCCGGGCTATGAACGGCTCACGTATTTGTAAAATCTAAGTGACTCGTACAAAATGGAATTCATATAAAACGGAATAATCAACAGTGTTATGGGGGGGGTCGTCTGTAAACTCCAGAAAAATCAGTTTGTTTTTGTCATGAATTTGTAGTAATTGTCTATTATATGAAGTATTTATGAACATTTTTAACTTACTAATTTTAAATATTGACTATATTTATATTTACAGGTAGATAATTATGCACCAAAAGTTAAAACCTACCCAATAGATAAAAAAGCTGATGCCCAGTTCAACCAATTAGAAAGTATTTATGTTGGAAGAAATGGTAATTTTTACTTTCAGTTTGTAAAATTTTATATTACAGTTTTTATTTGGAAATTAATATTTACTAAATACCAAATGAACTTCATTGTTGGAAATTTATTAAATTCCTGGAAATTTTTCATATTTGATTATGTTGAGATTTCTGCATTAATAAATTTATATATTTATGTAACTGAAATTTATCTACTTTTTAAAAAGTCTTCATTATCTTTTCAAAATTGAAATAAGCAAAATAGAGTATTCAAAACAACTAATACAAAGTGCAAGAAATTCATAAATCAGTTGAAAAAGATTGAAACGTCACAATGTTAAAATGATTTTATACTAAGATTATTTTGGGTTTTATTTATTTGAATTACATTGATACCTCTTAATTTGATATCAGAACTTAATTTGCTGAAGCAAGCAAATTGTTTTCTTATAGGTCATTACACTTTATCAAAGCTGTGCACAGGGTTAGCATTACTAACTGTCCAGCAAATGTACAGCTCTGATTATATGTGTAATTAAAAAAAATAAACATATACAGTACCTTGCCCAATTATTTGACCCATGGAAAAAATTGATTTGTTAGTTTTTGATGTAGTAATTATTAAAAAATGCAATTGTTGATAGGATTATTTAAAATATTAATGTTTTATTATGTCTTAAAAATAAGTTTCTGCATTAAAAAATTTGAATGTAATAGAAATTAAAGATTAAAATGAAAATTAGTGTTTTGAATGACAGCCAGTAGTGTTTCTATATCACAAAGTTTTTGTAGTAGAAAGTTAATTTTTTTATATTTACAGTGTTGCCATAAAAACTTATTAAAGTACCTCAAATATAATAGATAATAAGAACAACCTGAAAAAATACTCATTCCTTAAACAATATTATAAAGAAAAGAGAAGAAAATAGTACAAAAAGTATGATTTTGGTCAATGGGACTAATAATTTGGTGAGGTACTGTATATATAGCATATTCATCCAGATCAGTCATTGGATTTAAACAAAAATGAGTTAAAACAAACACATTGGAAACATAGGAGTAAGTTAGCTATTAATGAAATTGTATGGGAAGTAGTTGTACATTTGCATTGTCAAACCACTTTGTATAGAATGTCTTTCTCCAAATCGGCTCACCAGTGGCCAAGGAGTTCCGATCCCGAACTATGGGAGTTCGGTCATGGGTTTGCGCCCCGCCAGGACTGGCTGGTCCTGTGGAGAAAACCTGGAAAATTCCACGTCTGTAATGCCTATTCCTGGAAGGCATCCTCTAGGCCAGTGTTTTTTCACCTTCTTGAATATGTGACCCCTTTACAAGTTAAAAAAATTCTGGCAATCCTCCCAGGGCCATATTAAAACTATATCAGTGATTTTAAAAACTACGTATTTAATTTTCTTGCTTTAAAAACCAATTGTACTGTAAAATAAACAGGCACAGCCTTTTCACTGAAATTCTAGTTTTTTTTTTTTATTGTAGTGTAGGACCTACAAACACTTGTCTTTTTCTTTTACCCGCAACCCCCTGGGGTCACGACCCACAGGTTGAAAAACACTACTCTAGACAAGTGATCCAAGTGTTAACGCATTTCTCTGGATTATAATGTTTAAAACAAAGGCACTATTTTTGAGGTAAAAGTCACATGGACTAAAAATATACTGAAAATAAAATATAAAATTTGATACCCTTCCATTTTTTATTTTATAAAAGTTATCAAACTATTACCACTTCAGGAGAAAGTGCATCAATTTTTGCCACATCAGCTAGACAAAAAGGTAATACCCCCGTTTGGCAAAACTCGAACTAGTCTCAATTTAATACAGTAGTATTGACACCAGGAACAACAAAAAAAATAATTTCGAAGAACAAGTAGTCTCATGTAAAAATAAATCCAGCAACAAGTTGCATAACTTTCTCTCTGATATGGGGTTTAAAAAACACATTATCAATCATAATAAAAAAAATTGTGTACTGTGCCATTTGTTATAAAAACTTTAATAATATAAGATTTTATTTAAAATTATTATAAAATGGCAAAAAGTTTAATTTTGAGGATAGTGATGAGTTTTATTTTAAAAAATTGTAAATGCTAATGATGACTAAAATCTTCATTAAGTTAGACCCTTCACGAGATATGACGTCCCATTTCTCTGGCCTTTGACCACCGAAATTTAATAGCATCAATGTTACTTATATACAAGCCACCATGCCAAATTCGTTTCTTAATCTTTACCGTCCTGAGATATTAAGCGAGATAACTTAGATGTCAACACCCCTCACACACGAATATGTGCGCGGTGCTTTTGTCCCTGTTTTTTTTTTTACTTTTTTGGATTCTAGATGTCTCAAAATGTGGAGATTTACAAAAACTTTGAGGGTCAAATTTACCACAATTCCAATACTTTTCTTTTTATGTATACATAACAGTTAGGAAAGTAACAGAAACTTTGCCGCTATCATCCCATTTTGCTTTTGAAGAGTTTTTACTGTACGTGGCTTCTTCTGTTTACTGTTTAGTGAAATATCTTAGTTCGTCATAATTCCTAGTTACGGCTATCATTAATTAGTGTTATTTTCACACCACAGAGACGATGGGGACAGGAGATGGATTTATCGGATGTATATCGAAAGTGCAGTTCGAGGATCATTTTCCTCTAAGGAGAGCATTTCAAGAAGGGAGACGAGGAAACCTTTACCTGCATCCAGAAACGGTTAGAGAAGACAACTGCGGTATCGAACCGGTCACTTATCCCCCCGAGAGAAGCGAAACGCGTCCTCCACCCACTCTTCCTCCGGGAGTGTTTTTAGAAGCCGTGCGGGCGGAAAGTGAAGACGCTGCAATATTAGGAGGTTGTTATTTCACTGATGGATAGGATCCTATATACATTTTTATATCTCGATACATTCAGTTATTTTTCCTATTTCAGGTGTTCTAGTCATCATATTCCTTGCTCTGATTCTAATGGCGATATTAATAGGCCGTTACATGTCTCGACACAAAGGTGAATATAGGACTCACGAAGATACGGGAGCCAAGGATGCTCCCGACGCGGACACGGCAGTGATCCAGAGTAAGACGGGACACGGCGTACCGAAGAAGAAAGAATGGTTCATCTGAATTGCCTTATTTCTCGACGGAGCTCTCGGAGGAGAGTTATTTTTATTTCGGTCCGAGATTGAGACGGGAGCGTTTATAAATACTTGACAAAAAAAAAATTAATGCCGATAGGAAAAGAGGGGTGCCGTTTTCCGAGCGAATGACGGAAAATTGCCACGTGGCTTTGGTCTCAATGAAATTGTTAATCGCGATCCCTGATGTATTTTACGAAATCGATATTTGTAGCGAAACCGTTTAACCGGGAGAACTGTGATGACTGAACTATCGACTGGGAGAGTAAATGACGTCATGTACGTCGTTTACGTTCAAGTGCTCGGGTGGAGAAATCGTTTATATAACTATGACAAAAAGAAGTTAACGGAGTGATAAAGTTGAATCTCGCCAGTACAAATTTAATTATTTTTCAAGCCAACGCTTTTCGGTTACGTCGAAATAATTTATTCATCGTTGTGCAGAATTTGTTTCGCCATCGTTATGTACTTACCAGTTCGGACACTTTTTTTTATCGAGTTAGCTCTTATTTTGCTCGTTCATATCATTCTTACGCTGTTATATACGTCAGTTAATAATTCCACCCGAGCACTTCGATTATCGTATCTTTCTTAACATTCCAACTTTTATCATTTCTTCTCTATTTACACCATATTTTTTAATTTACCGTCGTCGGCATTCTTATTTATGTACTTATTCATTTTGAAGTTTTCTACTTCTGATGCTTTTTTTAATTATTATTAAGATGTTAGGTTAAGGTCGAAAGTTTAAATGTTTTTTTATAATTTCCTTTTTTATTATAGTAAATTTATTGTTTATTATAAGTAAGTAAATAAATAAATAAATATATATATATATATTGCACCAAGGTGCCACCGGTAGACTAATAAAATATAAATGAATATTTTGTACAGACATTTATTAAAACAAATATTGTAACAAAAAGTTTATTGTCGATTGTTGGTTTTTTAATAGTACATTTACAAGTCGACATACTCTTAAAATTATTTCCAGAAATTCTTTTCTTTGGTTTTATTTTAGGAACAGGATTTGACTAACTTTAGCGGATTCAATTAAGCCTGAACACCAGATATTTGACTAAGATAAACAGCAAAGGTAAGAAGTAATGGTATCTCTGCAAATTAGTGCTATTCAGCATAGCTTTTTCGGTCAAATAACATAATATATGGCGTGGGAACGGAGATTTTCGCTGGGGGTTGTACAGTACATAAGAAAACTGCATCAAAAGCCAACTCTATTTTTGAAAGATGTTTATTATATTTTACTTATTAATTTTTATTAAATAAATATTCGTCGTCTTCTTTGTTTTAAAGAAATTATTTTTTTTGTCTCATTGTTGATAATTGGGCTGCAATTTGAAAAAATTGTACACCTATGTCGTCCGTTTGTCCGTCCTTAATCTCAATAACGGTGTTAGATGAATGTCAAGACCAGATAGGAATCCCGATTAATTATATATATATATACAGTAGAGCGTCGATTATCCGAATCAATCGGGACGGGTTGTTCGGAAGATCGATGTTTCGGATAATCGATTATATACGAAAAAAATAACCTATCCCATGTTGAAATTTTTCTCCGTTGCGTGTCGCTTCGCGTTGAATTTTCGTCGATGTAAACCTAGCGAAGACTATTGTATCGTTAAAAATTTTTTTTTTATTTCGTACAATCAAAATAAATATATTGAAAAATATAAAAACAAAAAATTATACTTCAGAAGTTAATTTAGTATCAAAAACGTAAAATATTCGAGTAGCCAAAGATTGCAGCGCCACAGCACTGGCGAAAATTTAAATTTGCCGACTGGAATTCTTTCGGGTGATTGACATTCGGATAATCGACGCTCTACTGTATATATATGAACTTCGCTTTTAGCTGAAAGTCACGCTATTTAAATTAAAAATTTTCTAAACGGAGTTTGATACATGACTGACATGCTTTCATTGTTATCAGGAAAAGTATCATGTACAGGGGCGAGCCACTATCAAATTTAAGTGCGTTATGATGATGTATCAATAAACAATTGTTCGATTACACTATATTTAACACTTTCCTTCCTGTGGGCGCTAAGAGGCCTCTTAGTAATCCCATTATTGATTCGGCCAGGCCCACAATAGGGCGACCGGTTGATGAGAGACGTGGGCCAACATATCCGGTCGGATCACCCCCCCCGAAAAATTCCTGGGGATTATTCGACCTGTCTGGATTCGATCACGGGTCCTAATTTAGGGCCTATACATGAACCCATGAAGATACCATCCAATTGTCTAAAAAATTTTGTATTACAAATAAAATACGATTTAAAACAAATTAACTAATTTAAAATGTAATTATTGGGTCAATGTATCAATTATATTTTTTTGTATAGATGAGCCTAAATGATAAAAATATATATCCAACATTCCGCAGTTAAGTTTTTCAAGGAATTGGCCTGTATTTTTAATACTATATTCAGAATTGTGATATTGATTTAATTTATCCTTAAGGAATTTTTCTAAATAATGTTGTAAACGTAAATTTTAATATCTACTAATATTGTATTTTGTGTGTTTTAACTTAAAATTTAAAAATTCCTACACCCAAAATTAAACAATATTTTAGATTACAATCATTTACATTATTATTATTATTATTAGCTTTTGTTTTAAAACTTTTAAGTATTTTTTAAAACTCAACTACGTTAATTCAATCAAATAACACAAATGAAAAAATGACACACATTTACTTACGATATCCGTTATTTATCATCGGGTTAAACGAAAACCGTTGTTTGTTTTCTATTATCTACCAAAAGTATTAAATTAATAATCTGTGGGGTTGAGTTTTATGAAAACGTATAAATGTTAGTGACAAATGAAATCATTTAAGTCCTACCCCTCTCGAGATATTACACACGAATGTTTAAAAAAACAAAAGATATATATTAATATTTTAAAAGTTATTATTGGAAATTAACTGTTTTCGATTCATTTTTAAATATCCTGTTATTCAAGGTACGGTCTAAAGATGATATATATATATATATATATATCTTTTGTTTTTCAAAGTTGGTAATTTTGATATATCCGTTTTCCGCTATTTTTGCGTCAAGAGATAGTATAAGAGACTAATTCGATACATCGTCAAGAACCTCATACAAGATCATCTAAGAAACATCTCTTCACAAGGTAAGTATTTTTATTTAAAAGTTTAACTTAGACCTAACTGTAGATAAAAATAAATCTTCGAAAACTCAAGTTTAACATCAAAATATGTAAGAATCATTTTAAGAAGGTGGTAGAATTCGATGCAATGAACGACCATTTAGTAGATAATTGTGTAAATGTTTAAAATATGTCTATTAGTTTAATGATAATTTTGTAAAATTTATTTTCTAAAATTTATGACATAAAAAATCGGCAAGATTCGACAATTGTTTGTACGGTTTATATCTGTCATATGAGAAACAAAATTTTAAGGAATTACAAATCAGAGGTTCGTTTTCTGGGAGTTTAATACCAAGTAATATATATTTAAACGTATAGAAATTAATTAAAATGAGATTATTATTGATAATAAGTTAATATTAAATATATATAATGTGATTTAAATATATTTTAAAAATTTAAATAAATGTAAGGGGCCGTCCATAAATTACGTAAGGTGTTTTGGGGTGGGTGGGGGTAAAGGATTTCTTACTATTTCTTACTTAGGGGTAGGGGGGTAATAGATCTCGTCTTACGTAATATTCTTATTTTTTTATCTCGTTGAATGGTGGAGTTTTGAATTTGGTGGTCTATTAAGAATGCTCGTTGTACTAAAGCCATCTCATGTGACATGATAAAATAATAACGCTAGCAGAATCATGCTCTACATGTTTTCTTCATGGAAGAAAGGCCGTGTGGTGGTTTCTCTCTCTTTTTTTTTTTTTTTTTATTAGAATAAGTGCACCACTCCTATGGGTGTATAACACTAAGAATACATGATACAAAGTAAATGTAAAACTAGATACAGTAGAACCTCGATTATCCGGACCTCTATTATCCGGATTTTCGATTATCCGGATTGTTCAAAATAAACAAAAATTTTACGAATTTGCTGATTTGCACTTGGCGAATTACGATACTGTTTATGCACGTGATGGAATGCATAATATTTTTTGTTTCAACAACGTCTCACCCGGCACAGTGGCCGTAAACTCTTAAATATATTTTGCATTCTAATAAAAATATAACTTGACATACGTATTTATAAAAAATTTTATTTTCAAATTACATCATTTCTATGACCAAGGGCGGCGTAAGGCATGGGCAACGTGGGCCACCGCCTATGCCTCGCGGTCCGAAGGGCCTCGCGTTTTGAAGATTTATGCATTACTTAAAAGCCGCGAACGCAACGAAAAAATTTCACTTGTCATAAAACGATAAATAGTTTGTCAAATTTTTATTCATAAAAATGCAGTTTCAATTGCTTTTTATTTTATAAAATCCGTC